AAGTTAATAAATACGGGCTGATTCAAATTTCGTAAGACATGAACGATCCCTTTGAAGTGAGAGAGTCGGTCATGGCATATGACAAGAATGATCGTCTGGAAGTGATAGCCAGTAGGGACGGGCGAGCATAATTTGATCGGCCATAATACCGGACTCAGAAAACAATCTAGCGAGGGGGGAATGTTGAGCAATGCTAAGCAATCGCCGAATGAAACGTTTCTGAAGAAACACGGTCCGAGCGTCTTACCTTCTCCCTTTAAACCGGCATTGTCTCCCCCGCACGACGCGGCTTTATACTAGTCTGGGAAATTGTTGGTCTTGAATGGATGATTATAACACACCAAGGCTACAGTACGGTAAGCCAACCAATAATATACAACTGAAGAACGTCGGTAAAGGATACAGAGAAAAAAAAACAATCAGTCAATCAATTCGCCCACAAACTCCTTCACCAACGGTTCCCAGCAAGGGCGATCCACTTGCATGTGCTCGCCGTCGCAGGTAGCGAATACCACTCCGCCTTGTTCATCAAGTGTCCTCAGCCCTATCCAGTCTTCTCGGTAAAGAGGCTGTAATTTCATAGGAATGATGTTCTTGTCCGACAAGACGTCCTGTCCTGGTACCATGTCGTCCGGAGGGGCCTCGCTAGCAAACCAAGAACTCTCTTTCGGGACGACTGTCCTGTCCTGGAGGAACATGACGAGGACGAGCGAGTTCAGAGAGGCTAGATTATGAGCGTAGGTCTGGTTTCGGGGTTGCACGTCCGGTGGGAGTTCGTTGTTGATAGAAGTCAGGAAATGATTGGCAGAGAGATACGTCGGGAGATTATTGGGATCTCGGAAGTATTGGGCCTATGCATAGGTGAGTTTGGGAAAGAGGTGGACTGGTAGGACTGATGCATACCTGGACGAGATTTTCCTGAGCCCAAGTGCTGTAGACTGCGCTTTTCGTGGCACGCCTGGCAACTTGACACAGAAGATCCCAAGCACTGCATATTGGGATATCCGATATCCCCATGTGCTGTGCGCCAAACGTTATGAGGTTGTTGACCGGCGGGTCGTTGTACTGCTCCACATAAGCCCGTAAGAACTGCCCGCCTTGGGAAAAGCCAATCGCATCGAAACCGCCTGCCAACTCAGGGATACCACGTAATTGGTCGGAGACAAGCTCGATTTGAGCATTCACGTTGCCGTACTGGCTACCGAGTCTGATTAATGGCGCGATGGAAGAGCACAGGATTAGTTACGCACAAAGCCAGCCCTGCGGTCATTGTCCTGTACTTCGTCGATGTAGATTGAGTGTATGAATATTCCTGGGTGGATATCTTCAATCAAGGATGCAAATTGCGTCATCCCAGGAGACGAGTATGAGTCGCCTGTACGCTGGTGTTAGATTCGTTCAGGAAGGCGCGGATGACAAACCTAGGCCATGCCAAAGAACCAATGGTCGTGGTGAGCTATGTGTCGTCTCAGGTGAGTAGTACAGAGCAGAAAGCAGCGGTACAGCGAAGAGCGGTAACTTCATGGTGATGGTCCAGGTCAGACCTGAGGCAGGCAGGCACATGATCAAACACGCCCCAAAACGGAAGGCCTCCGACGTCATCCTCGACGATGAGCTCGCCCACTCGAGCGTCAAGCAGACTCGTGTACAGAGGCAGTCTGGCGCTTCCCGACTCCCATGTAACCCTCGATGGCATCGCCTTCTCCGCCATGCTCACCGCACAGACGACTTTGCTGCAAAATCCCCTCGCCTTGGCCTTGGAATCGCTCCGTGGCATCGCTATACGCTTCGTCGCCGTCATCAACCTCGCCGACGTCTACTACGACGCCAAGGCAGCTCCGAGCATCGTGCTTGACATACACCCCCAGGCCGTTCTTTCCACTGTCTACTTTCAGAACATTTTCTGCCTCCGACCGAAGCAGACCCATTCGATAGGTGTTCAGGTCGCGCTTGGGGATACCGACGCGACGAACATTGTTATCTACGCGTCTTCCGTAGGGGATAATGCATTGCGGCTACTGGCTGCACGGATAACACCTCCACCAGTTGCGTTACCTCGGCCCGACGACCCCACTCCTCGCAAGCCACCGCTACTCTTGCATGCTAAGGGCAGGGACCTTTTCCCACCAAAGCCGCAGTTCAAGGTACCTGCAGTACCAGCGAAGACTCTGAAGAGGAAACCGTCTCAGGTGGAACCAGAAGTTGGGCCGACGATAGAGAGGAAGAACAAAGATGTTCGTATTTCTGTTCTTGTTTCTTTTCTTTCGGTATCTAACATTCGACAGACTGTCAAAGGAATCGTCGTTAGAAGCATTCCAACACATCTCCTTCCCAAGACGCATCCCGAGTACAAGGAGGTCTTCAACTGGATCTATCGTGGAGTGTGCTTCGCTATGGTGATTAAGTGCTCTGCTTCGAGTTTGAACTCCAGCTGAACTTGATTATAAGCGCGCCGATATAAAACTGAAACCATTAAATGAAGAAAACGCCAGTCGTCTTGCGAGGGTTCATGTTGGCATGTACGTTCAAGGCGCTGATGGGCGAAAGGGACCGATATAACAACGGCTCTAATTTTTATTATTTGTATGACCAGGTGGGTAGCCTTTTCTTCTCCTTGAATGCGTCTGAACATCATGTAGGTTAACCACTGTAGCATATATTCTCAATTATCGTTCTTCTGACCCGAAGCACTGCGCATTGAGTTTCGTCGACAGTTCAGACTGCGAGCTTCTACATTTCTGCAAGTCACGCCAACGTGGTCCAATATCATTAACTTGAATGCCTTCTGTCCCTGGTCAGATGTGCGTTTTGCTGTATGAATCTGTTCACGATGACAAGGATAGGTAACACGCCGCATTCAAGTCATGACATCTATACTCCCACTCGAAGATTCCATGTCATTAGATGCGGAACCGACCGCAGAGCTTCTAAATGACCTCCCGGCCATGTCATGTCAGCTGTAGCGTCCCGAATTCCCTTCTCCTTATCTATCGCCATGAGCTTGGCGGTCTTGCCTGTCTTCTACTACACCGCTCGTATTTCGTCGAAGTCCTCGGATACAGCGGAGAATCTCACAGCTCATTAACGACGTCGACTTTAAAACAGAAGCCTGAAATTCGAAACCCATTAAGAAGTTGGGACATCTTCACTATATCAACTGGCCCATGTACACCTCTGTCCGTCTTTACGCTCCTTGTGCCGTGAACCGATGTCAGAGTCACCCGCCAAGAAAGCACGTCCTATGCAGGCTGATAACCCGCAAACTGGCGCTGTCCCTTTGTCCACCCGACCGTACATACTTGCCCCGACATTTCTATCCCCTGCTTTACCCCCTACTGCTGTTCTCTCGCAATCACTATCTATAGCTACTCCGAACACAGAAAATGTCCCTTCGCCATCGACTACTCCGACTCCTACAAAGACAACCGTAATCCAGCCGTTACCGCAGTCATACAGCTCTGGAAAGAACCCATCTTCGTCGCAACCAACGCCTCCATCTCATATTCCAAGAGCTGCACTAAGTAAAACGACTCAGACGCCCGGAAACGTAACAAAACCCTCTTCTGCTTCGCCCGTTCTTTCGACAATCTTATCTCCTTCGACCGATACACAGCATAACTCTTCTGCATCTGCATCTACCACTGTATCGGCCTCCACTACCAGCACAGCTGCTATTGTATCTGCTTCTACGAATACGGCGCACGAAAGCGAAACCTCTACGTTCACGAAACCATCCAACCCGACCGTCCAGGAGTCAACTAGTATCCCTCCCACTCAAACCTGCACGTCTTCCCAGCACATAAACAATACCAGTCGCAGTGTGGACTCTTCGAACATACTCCAGATGAGACGTGACCGCGCCAACAGACCTCTACCAAATCTCGACTGGATCGTCCCTCACGAGCCTCAGGCTCAGGTAAGTCACCGCTTTCTCGTCCTCAGATCCAAGCCGCTCACTTGAAGCAGACACACAGACACACCCAAGTGAAAACAGCAGCGGAGCGCCTGCGTCCTACGATCGTATTGGCAGAGGAGGCGAGGAAGATGTACGCGGAGCGTGCAATGATGAATGGGTATGCTATGAACGTTGCTATCGGTAAGCCGGGTTGTTCCTCTCCCTCTCGTTAATATGAAGACCTGTGCTAGGCATACAGCTTCTGGCCGGCTCTCTGACTACTGCCATATCAGCACTTGTTACCGGACGCGAGGTGAGAGCTTGTTCCGGACTCGAGTACACTGGCCAAATGCGTTCTTAACATCAGATTACGATCGTGCTGCCCATCCTCGGTACAGTCATACCATCCTTCTCCCGAATTTCAATCTCAATGGCTTTTGCCCTAGGTGCTATATCAACACTTACAGCAGCATTCCTCACCAGAGCCCGAGGGTCGAACGAACCGGAGCAATCCCTGATGGTGGCGAGGGACCTCGAGCAGTTTATTCGGGAATGCAAGGCGTTTCTGGTAGATTTTGGGTCAGACACTGATAAGAGAGAGGTGCAAAGGCTGAGGAATAGGTTCGAGGAGATCTTGAGGGGCGCCACGGATGTGTAAGCGAGCCTTTTTTGTGGTAGTGTCGTGTCTGATGCTTTTGAATGGACTATGTGGGGAGAAAAAATGATCACCGGTAAACAGGAACATCACATATCAATGGACAGAACGTAATAGCATTTTGGTATGTAGTGAAAATAAAGAAGTAGATGATCTGGCAAGGGGTCATTGGCATGCCTATGTCTGTACAGGTCTCATTTAAGAGATGCGTTTCATAGTATAAAATGGGGTAAAGTGTAGCACACCTTGAGAGCGACTCCATCGTTGGTCCTTGGATGAATCAGTCCTGGGATTATCGGAAGTTTCAGGAAATTCAGCCCCAGCGATTGTCATGAAATCTAGTTTCAGCTAAGACCTATCACCTGGATCATGTATGAGGATTCTTCAACTTTCGATTCTCGATAGTCACGGTGACTGCCACTAAAAATTAAGTCTCTTGTAAAAAAAAATGGGCTTGACTGGGAATTGAACCCAGGACCTCCTCGAAATCGTTGCACGTCAGCTTTGATACCCTAACAAGGAATCATACTACTAGACCATCAAGCCGGCTTTGACATGATTGAACGAGTCACATGCAGGGTACACGTACGTACCTTGGCTCCGTTGATAAAGTTTTCCCTCCGTGACAGTCACTTCAATAATTTCGGTTTGCGCTTGTGACTATAGACTCTGAGTATCTAACATTGAAAATCTCGGCAGCATGATGCGCACTGGGCATGGACAGATATTGAAGTCGAGTTGGAAATTGGAGCGACCCAGTCAAAAGTCGTGTTGTTTTTCTAGAACGGTCCCTATGCGCGGTCGACTTTGAGCCGGTGGCAGGCTGGGAAGAGTAGTATCGGTTGGATGCTATAAATAAGATCAAGACCACCGTGGAGCGCTTGGTTGTTGGCTATATCTCTTAGCCGCTACGTTAGTGCGTCGAGGAAGCGTTCAATGTTAGAAATGATCTCTGAGGTCGATATTTATTACCTCCACCAGATGATCAACGCCAACTAGGAGTAATACTGATACAGCGTTTATTAGAGAGTAGGGTACGGTCACTTCTTTAAAGGTGTAATGGGTTTTGTCGCTTTTCACCTCGAAGGCAAGCTTTTCACGTCACTTGTTTTCGTCTGCTTTAGAGGTGCGGGGCTTCGGCGAGTTGCCGTTCTTGGGCTTTCCAAGTGGGCTCGTGTTGGACGCGGCACTGAGCTTGGCGACCTCGCTTATAGAAGGCTTGCCGGACCTGGTTGTCTTGAGAACGTCGCTGGACTTAGCAGCGTCACTAAACTTCGACACGCCACCAGTGGGGGGTGCACCACTCGACTTCGTCGCGTCACTGGATTCAGACGCGTCGACTGTGGACTCGGCAATTCGACCAAACCCTAGTCCGGCAATATCGCCATGCATGATCTCCTCGTCGCTGATATTCTCCAGTCGAACCAGCTCCCTGCGAAGGTACGTCACCACATCGAGCATAAGATCGGGATATTTGACGTATTTATCCGCCTCGGAGGGCGCATAATCGTGGACGCCAGACCCATCATCCCGGTGCGCTTCTTTCTCGAAGTCGATTTTCTCAATGTTCTCCACCAAGCCTCCGACGAGGTTGACAGTACGGCGGTACGGAGCAGGGGCATTGGGATCATTAGGATCGGGATACGCGATGCCTGCTGCTCCACGAGCACCGAGTAGGTTCCGCCATACAGCAGCCGCCAACTCCATGTCGCCCTTCACCATGGCGTAGTCGAGAGACATCCACATCCCTGCCCACTGTTCCTTGAAGATCTTCATTTGCCGAGATACCAATCGCTCCGGTGCAGCCCGGCGTCGTATGGCCTTGCCGTCGGGTCCCGTGGTAGGCGCATTAGGGTTCGTGTAAAAGGATGACTCGAATGTGTAGGGTTCTGTGGGTTTTGAAGGAGGTTGGAGTACGACACGAATTCGGTCTTCAATGTCAAGGAAAAAGTGGTCCACGAGACCCTGCACGTATTCCTTTCCGTGGGGAGATGGAAGGGCACGGAAACGGACAGCAAGCATCCAGGTATGAAGGTTAGCGACAGTAAACCACGACTGGAACGTTGGCGGCAAATCGCAATCTAGGAAAAATCAATACGTCTGCACTTAAAAAATCCTGTGAGACATACCTTGATGCCAGAATGCCATCTCTGCGTCTGGTGCAGCTGCGCACAACTTCGCATACATAGGAAACGTCCTCCTTCCTGCCAACTGCTTCGGAGTCCCGTACCCCAGTAAATTGACAAATTTCATGAACCACCAGCGCGCCGTCGGTGAGGACTCGACTTTTCGTGTCAGCCAACTTTTCTGGTGCTCCAAGTTTATATCACCCGGCGAAAGCTGGGATGTTGGAGGGCTGGAAGATGATGGCGGCGTGTCTCGCAGCGTTTCGTTCCTTTTGGTTGATAGATAGCGGGCATTTCGGTAGAGAGGTCGCCTACATGTGCATAGATGTCGGAGAAGGTACCGCTGATGATGGTGGTTCATTTTTGGGAGACAGTGCAACGAAGACCGTGCCGCGGCAGTAGTTCAAATAAAAGGGACGAATCCAGTGAGTAGCTTCATGCAAGTCAACTGCCATGGGTTAGAAAGAAAAACTTGGAACCAGTACGTTGTCAGTCTGTACTCTGTGGGTCAACTTGTAAATGTGGCCTTATGGTCTAGTCGCATGATTCCTCGTTTGGGTCGAAATTCGAGGAGGTCCTGGGTTCAATTCCCAGTGAGGCCCTTTTGCTCCCCTACGAATTGAATGTTTTACACTGTGTGTAGCTACTAGTATGTACCACGGACTCTGGAGTCCAATTTTAGTCTTACCCTTTGAAGATGTATATGCAGGATCCAGTGATGCAGCTGCAAAAATTAAAATACAGGAACCAATCAGGAATAACCTTTCACATCTATACACTAAATACATAAATGAGCAGTGGCAGGCTTGACTGACCAGTCAAATAGCTATATATATCAACCTTCATACAATGTCCAAGGATCTTGTCTCTCGGGTCTCTTCTTTGATGAGAGAAAATTTTCTCTCCAGCCCTGGATCTGGGTTATCCATCTCATCCAGTTCAACACTCTATGTAATGTCTCCTTCCTGTGTTGAAAGAGACCCAGTTCCAAAATTGAGGGAGGATACCCTGGAAGTACTACTCTCCTGCCAAGAGTCATCTGGTCTTGCATGCCCTGCTGCAACACATCCAACTAAAAGTGTTGGTGCAATTCCCTAGAACAAGCATATGTCAATCACAATGTTCAATTAATATTGTAGTAGGCAAACCCTTATGGTAGCACCAAGAATATCAGCATAGCCCCCACTTAATGTGTCACGAGCCACAAATACTATGTTGATGATTGATACAGTGGAGTACAAAGCCGCTGATTCAACAAGTGCTTCAATGACTCCATGATATGAGCGTATTTTCACTCCATGACCAGACCTTGTAACACTTATGATGCGGTACAATATAAAAATGTTGCACCAAAGTGTTGTAGTGAGTGTCAATGCAAGGTAGAGCATCTTCCACTTGGCAGCAAAACTCATATAAGAAGAATCTCCAAGATTTTCAACAGTATCAGAGCAACTGTGATATATCTGGATGCCCTTGAACACTATGAAAAGATGATAATTTGATAATAGCTAGATTTAAAATGAATTACCTGTGCCTAGAATGATACAGAGTACTGGGATGATAACAACAAGCCATTGATGGCCCTACACAATCCAACAGCGCCAAATCTGATAAATGTGGATCAGAGTAGTGATTAGCAATCATATATGAAAGAGGTCTTTTGTTACTAACCAGTGAGGAGTCAGCAATAACTGTACCAATACAAGCAATGATACCAATTACCAACTGTTGATGGATCATCATTGGACTAAAGCCATCCAGTCCTATGAATACCATGTAGCAGTTTTGTCCTTCATCAATGAAAGCATGGTGTGTGAATGTCCAATAATCACCTAGCTGAATGGTGGCAAGAACATAGAGCACCAATATGGTGAGGACCATAACATATCTTCCAATAGAGGAGTTTTTGGTAGAACTTTGAACTATGACCAGAAAGAAGTAAGTTATATAGTTCCAAAGTCAAATAAACAGAAGTGTTGCAGAACATACAGATGATCCAGAGTGTAATACCCAGAACACCAGTGTAAAGTCCTATAGTGGCTTAAATGTCAGAGGATTCTCTCCCAGAGACTATGAAGCTCACCATGTGCAAGTGCCTGTAGTATTGTGGTGTTAAGATACAAATCTAAAAATTGAAAGATGAGATGCAAGTCACTGTCAGTGAGACCTGGGGGAAGGGCTGCTTGCATCACCATAGCCAATAATGATTGTGTTTCTCCTGTAGGTCCTTGTATTATATAGAACCAAGAATTTCAAATTAAAAGCACACTAAGACTCCAACAGCTCCATAGGGAAATGTTTCTACCTTGTACAGTTGATCAGGGCAACAGAGACCAATAGAAACATGAGATTAACATGCAACTAAAGGAAAAGGAGTGGTATTTGCTCCATGCTGGGTTTGCAGCTCCAAGTTGTCATCAATTGAATAGATTTGAAATGATAGGATCCAGATACCTCTAGTCCTGTTCATTGTTCCTGCTCACTGGTTTGATCTCCCATCATGACAGTTGCAATAGTTTTGTGCAGGTTCTGAAATAGACTTTGGTACCTATTATCACAGAAACACACCAGCAGTAGCAAGTGTTGGCAAGAATATTGTTGGCTGAATGATGAACACTCAAAAGAGATCAGGTGGCAACAGGTGCATACAGCATGATGCCAGGAAGGTCCTTGACACAAATAATACAGCTACCAAGCTCAGCTAAGGGGGGTGTGGCACTTGCAACTTGCTTGCAAAAAAAAGTGCCAATTAGACTTAGAAAAGCCATCCAGCATTGGCAGTGGACTCCAGAAACCTAATGGACATTCGATCCATATCACCGATAGCAGCTACTGCAACATGGCTATTTGTCACGATCTCCAAGTCGACAGGCATGAGGGAGTTCTTGCATTTTTCTCGTAGTACGGGATCAAAATATATACAAGATGTGGAACGATGACAGCGTTACGAGCAGATGACCATCTACGAGAACCCGTGAATAGGGGTGCCGGAAATATATCCGTCCGTACAGGCAAAATGTGGCTCGGTCCGTAGCTTTCGATGCCATTCCTGGACCGATCGGGGAAAAAATCAGGAAGAATACACGTTCCGGCACGGATGCATTTCGTCGTTCTTCCAGCACGATGGTTCGGCGTAGCGTTTCGTATAAAAGGCTGGCAGTTCTCTGCGAATCGCCTTTGTTCCCGGGTCCTTTACCTTGCTTCCCCTCTCATGTCGAAGAACACAGTCTTGATAACGGGAGCAGCCGGTTGGTTGGGTGGCTTGGTATGTGGAATGATTAACCTGTTCTGGTCCCAGTTCCTGATTGTTGCGTGTTGGTAGCTCTCTGGTGCTCTCATCGCCGACCCTCAGACACCCGATGTCAGTTTCATCCTTGCCGATATCGTCGAACCCAAGGCCCCCGTAGGAGCCAGAGTTGT